TTCATAATAAACACGGGTCACCAATTATGGTAGTACAATTTTTTTAGACAGATCGTTAAATAATTATAACAATTGAATAGAATAAATATTTTTTTTTTGGTTGCTATGGGTTACCAGACTGGCAGAGTTGAGCTGTAGTAGGCAAGTTGCCACATATCTATTTATCTATAATGTATATTAAACTTTTGTTTAAAAATTGTACTTTTTAAAAACACTTATATAAATATGTAAAATAAATAACACCTCTTTAACCAAGGTCTAGATCATCGTATGTCTGATTTTTTCCGCCGACACAGATGCATTTCCGAATCCAAGGGTTGTAGTTAGGTAGTGACTATTCTTAATACAGTCAAAACTAATCCGGACTCGTGGACTTCGGCGATTCGGATTACGGTTTTCGGAGTTAGATCATCATTTAAATCTGGAAGATGGCTGCAGAAATTCCAAAATAAAAATATGAATCGAATTTATGAATAAGAACAAATCTAAATTTGCAAAAGAAAAAGCTTAATATTTATTTGTTTACTTTATTAACATTTCTTTCGATGTAAGTTGTTTAAGTTTTGCTTCGTTTCATGTGATAATACTTTCCTTTAATTCTATTAACAGACTATTTCTTGTCATTACAAAAGTTCCGCCGTTCAGTCCTAATGGTGTCAAGACACCGACTAATTGTCAATCGAAATTTTTGTGTTTCAATAACCTCTGTCACTTTCTTCTATCGGAGCAAAATTATAATGCGGCATTGATTAAATCATATCAAAGACGAATGAAATACTACATTGAGTAAGCAATTATAAGCCAAATAAAATAAAACATCTGCCTAAGAAAGGATAGTGTGACAGATCAACAAAGTTTAGAAACAACGTTAAATAGATAGGATATGCTTTATCCTTTTGCAGCAATTCCACTTTTTGTTTAATGGACTCGAAAGATACTTTGCTTATATCCTTTACATATAGAATATTATCGGAAATTCTATTTGACTATCGAAAGTTCAAAGCTTATTTGAAATGCCTAACGTCTGCAAAAATAAAATAGGATCAATTCGAAGATTAGAACACGCAATCTGCAACATTACGAAATAGATATTAGATAATTGGAGTTAGTTATCCCGTCGTTATACATAAAGCGCATTCGTAAACTATTTTGCGCACGCAACCCAGCGTAAAGGTCTCAGCGCATGCGTCAAGCACTCATGCGCAGAAATTTGTACTTTGAGTCGATTTAGATCCGGATTAGGTGTCCGAATTAACGACTGGACTGTATATTTTTAGTATTTTATGCAGATTCAGCATTTTTATTATTATTTGCATTATTTTCTTATTACGAATATATTCTATATATTATATTACTGAAAGTTTTTTGTGGGGAGGGTGGCACCAAAAAGATTTTTTACCCCGGGTGCCAGTTATGCTTGCTACGCCACTGCCACATTGTCGCTATTAGTTTAAGTGTGCTATTTTACGGCCGTACCTAATATGTACGTACGAGTATATGCCAGTTACCCTTAAAAGGAGCCAACTATATGAATAGATTCTGTGCAGCTTCGACTGAATAATTTTATTTAGTTAGCTTTATATTTTCTATTTTGAGTTAAAGCCCAAGTGGACCCTTCTTGTGCACCTGAGAGGGGTTATCTGTACATGCATTCTAAGTTGGAATAAAAGAGTAATTTAACCTTTTTTGGACTTCTTACTTGCACTACAACAACTCAGCATATAGTCGCTACATAGTTCTTCAGTATTTTAGCTTCCAAGGAATTCTATTTTAGCTAGGCAATTATAGTGTGATCAAAATGCCTTTTGGATTATTCAATGATATATTGTTTCAAAACACTTTAATAATAATAATACCTATTATTATCATTAAAAGGTTCTTAGCCAAGTTGTTTGTGAAGACATTAAGTCTCTGATATAAAGAATAAAACTGATTTTGCCATTGATTTAAAAATTAATAATTTTAACCTTAAAGAGAACAATTCAAGCAAACTGTACTTTGCTAAGAAACCTGAAGATACTCAGCCTTTACAACTCAATATAATATCTTCATCAGCTGCTCTTGTATTATTTATCACAGTTTTTACGTAGTTAACACAATCAATTACCTGTAAAAGTCTGTATGCTTAAATACACAATTCTACATTAATTCTCCTCCATCTTGAAAAGTCCTATACATCACAACATGTAAACAATGACATTTCAAAACATTTTACATTACAAATATGTACAGGGCTTGTACCCCCCCCTCCAAAAAAAACTCCTAAAGATATGTCATGCTTAAAAATTCAACAAAAAATCTATACATATAATAAAAGAAAGTCTGTCTGTGTGTGCGTCTTTCGTTCGGGCTGCGCATAAGCTAACAGACCCACAGCTACGAAATTTGGTACATAGGTGCATCTAGAAAAAAGGCAGTGCAACTAGAAGCGATTTTTTCGAAATTTGAATTTTTTTATTTTATGTTTTGTGACGAAATCGCGTCATTTTGAGACATAATGAGCTATAGAAAAACGAGATTACACACTCCATTTTCACATCGTCATGAAATGTAGGCACTTAGCTATTTACACACTAAGATAAATTGCATGTTTTCAGTAATCGAAATAGAATTTATTTAACAAGTGAGTCACAACCTTTTCACGAGATTTTTCTAAAAAGTTTATTTTTTCTTTGATTTTTGCATTAAACTTTTATCCTTGTGACAGTTTTACAAAAAGAATTCGGAAATTATATTAGATATTTTAAAAAAAAATTAAAATTTTTTTTTTTTAAATGAAGCTCCGAGTACACTCTTACACTTAAAATGTATTTTGGCAACAATTTTCCTTTTCTTGTTGTTGATAATTTTGATAATCGCATCATTTTGAATAGTTTCATCTTTAGAAATTAGGTTTGCACAATTTTCATCGTACTTTATGTCACGTTTTTAAGGACTGGCATAGTTCATTCACTTTACTTCTTTGTACAAAGTAAATGAAGTATTATAATCGCTAAAAGTTCAGGCGCATATTTCAAGAAAATTCCATTTGACGCATCGAATGCAATTTATGAGTTTGCATGATATCCGTACATAAGAACAGATAAAGACGTTTCTTCAAAAAAATTATAAACTGCTTTAAAATTAATCTGAAGAGAATTTTTTCGTGGCGTCTGACGTGCGACGACGATCTCGCCTACTCAAAAACGAGCCACCTCAGAACGTTAAATTTTTTATAGACTTCTATACATGTAGATGTGCACCTCGTACTTTGGTTGCAATCGGCCGCACCAACATATATAATTATTATATATAACCACTCTATACCCAGCTCAGTGATCTCATTCTTTCCACTTAATGTTGGTAAATTGTACATTTTTGCTTTAAAAGTGAATTATGTGTTTTATCTTCGCTAAGGATTATCCTTTAAGTAAATCCGTGTGTGATATTTTAGAATTATCAGCAATTTAGTTGTTTATGCCGCTAAGCTTTTTTTTTGGCGGCCATTGAGTTTACATTTGAAAAAGGAGACTAGTGATTTTGCCAATATAGAGAAACTTACTTCGCAACAAAGATAAAATTCATTATATTGCAATTAAATCATGCTTAATTCTTTCTGAATCTTTCGAGGAAATAGGTGTTTGAGATTTTCTTTTTTGTTTTGTTTGCTTAATTTCTTTATACATCATTCACTTTATATAGTATTGAATAGACAGTGGCAACGATTAGATAATTCTATTTTTATATATAAATTTTTTGCATTATGTGTTATAGTGAATGAAATAAATACTGTTGAGTGAATCTAGTGCCGAGTGTCACTATGTAAACAATACTAGAGTGAATTTTAAAGAATCATTTATTTATTGTGGTTATGCGCTTCCGTGAAGTAGATTTAAAATCGAATAAGTTTAAATAAATGCAAGAAAAAATGCGTATAATAATATTCCGTACAGGAATCATGTGTGTAACATCAGATTTTTTTTAATATATAATACTTTTTTTTTTTTTTTTTTTTTTTTTTTTGATAAAGTTGTTCGCAGAGTAAAATCCTCGGAATTTTTGTTTTGAGTTTCTTTCAGTTATTTTTGCTTATTTATGTTGTAATATTGAAAAGGTGTGCACGATTTTTTTTTTTAAACGGAAAGTGGTTATTTTTATATGTAATATATTTTTTTAAACATTTGTGTTTTTTTTCCAGAAGTTTTTTGCAGAGTAAAATTCTGTGCAGTTTTAAATTTAACATTTGGTGTTCCCTTCAGGCATTTTTACGGTACATTTAAAAGCCAGACAAAGGCTGGTAGCGTAGATGCTAGTAAAGTATAAAGTAAGTTTATTATTTTTTTCATAGTTATTTTCACATTCTTAAGGTTGTGTTTAAATATATTTTAACTTTAGATTTACAATAGTTCAAGGTGAGGCGACATTAAAAGTCCTTTTCGTTGCCATGCTAGTGGTATTAATTGTAAAGTTATTGAGAGTATCAAAGTACACTATTTAAAATCTTGGACAGCATATAATGGCCATATTGCCATGATTTTAAATAGTGACAGACAGAGAGACAAAAATGTGGAAATAAAAATTAAATGGACTTACAGAAAACTATTTAGCTGAGCAGATGCTGTCTCTCTCTCTGTCTGAAATTTCTGACCTTTTAAATGATAGTGTTTCACTTTATACAGCTGGAAATGCCCAGTCATGATTTGAAGAAAAGGAGAATGAAATTCTACACCTACTCTGGTTTCCACAATCACTAGACTTACCAATATTGAGTTACTAAGAGTTAGATTAGAAAACACAGTGAGAACTGAATACTCCAGCATCTGTTCAGAAAGTAGAGTGGTTTTGCATGAAGAAGGAAATAATATGTTAACTACCATCTTGAATTTGTATATGCCCATTCTTAATTGGATATAAATAGATTTAAGTGCCAAAGATTGTTCTATACAACGTGCAGATTTTCTCTTTCTTAAAGTGGTTACATGATTTTGCACAACTTCTCAGTGTACAGAACAAACTCTTACCTCTCATTCCTCTTGGTGTAAGCAATGTTAATTTTTGACCACACTCTTTTAATGTAGCAATAGCCACTTCAACAGAATCTTCTGTGGGGGTCTCTAGAAGATGAGTAACCATTTCCAAGATAAGAACTTCATGAGCCTAAAGAAAAATATTACAGCAGAAGTTTTTAAAATTGAATATTAATTATTATAACTGTTTAGCTACCAGTGGTCTGTTAGATTATTTAAAAAAAGTACTTAAATTAACTATTTTTCATAGTTTACATAATTCAATTACTTCAATTACTCTGTGGGACTGATTTTAAAAACAATTTGTTCAAGTGAAAAATAATTTATTATTATTTTTTGAAAATGCAACTTAAGGCCATATAAATTCTTGCCCCAAAAACCATTGCAGGTTTATTTATTTATTTATTTTTATTGTTCAGTTTGTTAAACTGCAATTCTAATTTGAAAGACAGAAAACATTTGCTAATTCAACAGCTCTAGAAAAAGGCAACACTCTGGAAACTAGTTGTTTACTATGCCATGGAAGATAAACTCACGTAATGGCAATACCTGCCAGGTTTGTGAGCAAGATAAATGACATGTTAGCGTAACATGTCATTTATCTTGCTCACAACACACATTATAATGGTTTAAAAATTTCAAGACTCTAAGATGTTTCTAATGAAAAAAAAAATTACAATTCTGACTGCAACTGAATTTAAGGTCAAGCTATTCTAAA